AAAGTTGCTTTAGTGTCATAATATTCACTCAATCGCCTGTAAACATAGCACCGCATATAATGAAATAATTATTTCGAGATTTCGTTAGAATGTGAGATATTCAGCTAGACGTTATGCAATGAAAGACGAATCTTTTTTTCCCATTAAAATACGCGCACGTGTACCTGTATATTGCATATCTATTGTCACTTAATTTCCCAGTGTGATGTATTAACGAGACATAAAATGGGAAGTGAAAAAGAAACAAACTAAACTTTAATTCGTTGAAAAATAACGCCAATGAATTGGTGTACACGCGCATGAATTTGTATGATAAACTGTCAAAACGTTTTGAGAGATAAGGCCGGGTTCATTAAAGATCGTTGCAATATGTAAAAAAGGTGAAATTTGTAAAACTTCTGCAAAGGAAACATCCAACCAAAGGCCCTTTTAAAATAGTAATGCAATGATAAAATACAAAGTGTGTTTCACATGATACAATATACTTTGTAAACAATTAGTTAATTCTTTAAAGGCACTGACGAAAACATGGGCAAAATATTTTAATAACGCCAAAAATGAGTTGAATTAAGTTAAAATGAGTTGAATCATGTGTCATGCTTATAATCCCTTAATGTATTTGCGAAACTAAAACTGTTGAGCAAAGGAAAATATGCTCGCCTATGGGCCAAACCTTTTTCTCGCCCATGGGCGAAATATTTCAATATCGCTATAAAATCGTTGAATTAAGTTAAAATGAGTTAAATTTTGTGTCATGATACGAGAAGGAATGCATTAAAGTATATTTGCTAAACAAACACATAAGTTTTGTGTAATGGAAAATATTCTCGCCCATGGGCCAAACCTTTTTCTCGCCCATGGGCGAACTATTTCAATATCGCTATAAAATCGTTGAATTAAGTTAAAATGAGTTAAATTTTGTGTATGATACTTGATGGAATACAAGTTAAGTATTTGCGAAACAAAAACATGAGTTTTGTGTAAAGGAAAATATTCTCGCCCATGGGCCATCCTTTTTTCTCGCCCATGGGCGAACTATTTAAATATTGCTATAAAATCGTTAAATTAAGTTAAAATGAGTTAAATTTTGTGTATGATACTTGATGGAATACAAGTTAAGTATTTGCGAAACAAAAACATGAGTTTTGTGTAAAGGAAAATATTCTCGCCCATGGGCAGGCACATGGGCACATGGGCAGGCACATGGGCCAATCTTCTATGGTGTAAATATTTATTTTTTGAACTTTTTTTTTCTTTTTTCCTTGCTTAGTATGTTCCCATGAAAACAGCATGCTTATTTTTGTAAATACCTTTGAGCGAGACTGAGAAAAGACTGTAGAGTTTCTGGACTTTTGGGTTTCCAGAATTAAAAAGGGGACGTGTTAATTTAGTTTCACATCAAGTGCTTCATGAACTAATATTTACAGGTAAGAAGAACGGAGACAGATAGCATCTTCAACATTCTAGGCTCAGATCTCAAGACAGTTTACATCAGAAGATTTTAACATTCTAACTAGTATATCTGTACATTCATTACCAGTAATAAAGTATATTATTTATCAAATATATTGAGCTAATATCTTCATAAATAGGGCAAACAAGAATGAAATTAATTTCAACTGTCCTCAACTTGCACAATGGAAAAAAACGGACATCTTATCGATGCCATCCCTCCTTCCAGTTCTCCAATACGTCCAATAAAAGGGTAAGCATACGTCGCTTTTCTTTTGATACTACATTTAATAGATACAGTTCAAGTGATAATGATGTCTTAAATAATGAATACAGTTCTAATTTCGAGCATTCAAACACTTCAGAATGCCATGTTTGTGCACGTCAGTCCATAGTCCTCAGTATAAACTCACTTATTCTGGATCACCAGAATAAAACATATTCGTAATAGCAGAAACCTATGTATTTCCATCAACGGCATCAAACCTAACTAACATATCGTAACATCGTTTTGGAAATCTCTCTTGAGACATATTAAGAAGTGTCTTAAACAGCTTGTGTAAGAATCAATATAAATACCAAACCGACCTCATTCTCCGAGCACTGCAACATTTGTAGACTTGGAACTAATACCCAAAACAGATTTACAAAACTTCGCTTGAAAACGTTCGAGAAACAACAATTTATTAACACCCCAAATCTCCGAACCATATAAAATAATCTGTTTAATCTGAGAGTCAAACTTTTTAAACAACATTTTAGGAGCGATATTTCGAACTGAGCTGTTTTATAGGAATTAAAGCTTCACTTGCTTTCAAAACTAATGTCTTAACTGTTCACGACCAACACTGCCTGTTTGAAAATATAATACACAAATAACTGTAATATATATGTAGAAATCTCAACAGGCATATGCCCTAGTTTCCATTTCTCGTAGTTACTTAACTTACCACCATTACGAAAAACTAAGATATTAGTTTTATCCATGTTAACTTTTAAACCCCATTTGATACAATTTTTTTGTAATACATCAATCTTCTTAATTAGTTCAAGGACTGAATCTGCAAAAATACACAAGTCATCCGCATATAAGAGAAGAAGCAATTTCAGTTAATCCCCATGTACAAATATCCCTCTACCACCACTCCAACTGTTTCTAACAAAACAAAAGAGGACTTAAAACGCACCCCTGTCGTATACCACGGAGTTGCTACTCTTTGAAATATTTAGGCAAGCAAGAGTTTGTAAATGTCCTGTATGATAGTAAATGTTTTCCCATGAATTCCATTTGAATGCTGAACAAACCAAAGAAGATCACGATTAATAGAGTCGAAAGCTTTCTGGCAGTCTATTAACATACAGTAAAATCTTGCTTTTGACTTAGACAAAAAATTCTGCACTAATGATTGAAGAATAAACATGTTATCCACTGAGGAATATCCCTTTCGGAAGACAGCCTGACATCCCGGCAGCTTATCATATAATTCAACGAAATGCTTTAATCTATTATTCAAAGCCTGGGTAAAAACCTTACCCCAAATATCCATCAAGAAAAAGCCCCTACAGTTGTTAACAACATGAACATTGCCTTTCTTTATGGAGAGGGAAGATAATACTTTTAGACCACTGAAAACAACCACTGCATAGAATGTTTGTTAAAAAGAACAAGAAGATGTGGAATTAAAACATCACTGCCATACTTTATCATCTCTAGCAGAGCTTCTTTACCACATTTGAGTGAATCTATGGCTATCTCTGAAGCCAATGTCTGGTGTCCCCCGCCGTGATATTGCTGGAATATTGCTAAAAGCGGCATAAAACCACACTCACTCACTCTTTAAAGTGTCTATATCTCCACTAAATCTAAACATCTCCAACAGTTTGTATTTACAGCGTTCATCACGAATGAAACTTGAATCTAACACAAGAAATAAACAGTTACTGAATGAAGAGTTCACGGGTTTAATCAAATTACTAGAAGTTAATGTTTTCCTCACTAAGACAGCCACGCCGCCTCTATCGATCCTATCGAACAAATGTGGAACGAGCTGCAAATATTTCTCTCACGACGCCTTGTCTATTCGGCAACTCTACAGGAAGTCGGCAATGCTCTTTCTAAAAAGTGGGGGGCCGCCTCGGTGGTCCAGTAGTAGCATCCATCCAGAGACATGAGACAACGGTGTCAGACTGTGATCGCATCACGTGGGTCATATACGCGATACTGAGAGTTTGTTTTCGTGATCTTTTTACGTTTTGGCCAGATACTGATGGGTGGTCAGACATGGTTACATGTTGTTTGTTGGCATTGTGTGGCACATACTTTTGTTCACAAAACATGTCTTCACGCAATGTTGTCTTTGCTTTTTCAACAGATGCACACGAGTTTAAAGTGATGACCCTTAGTAAACTTTGATTATTACCCATATGGGCTCAAATATGCAGTGTGATAACTTTTTGATATTTGCACAGTGTGCAATTAGTGATTCTCGAAGCTGATTGGTCAGTGGAACAAAGATCAATTTTCACTGGACAACGGGACTATTTTTTTCTCATCCCATTCATTCACAAATCCACGCCTTTCCCTTCAGAAGTTTTTACGTGCTACAATCTCACTGATTCGCGATTTTTAAGACAAGACACATAGTTTCATGTTAACATGATTTCACATTATCATTTTTTTCATTTATTTCACATGATTTTCATTTTACAGTAAAAACCAAAACTACGTCCCCGTTTGTAAACAAACATGGCCGGATTAAACTGTAACGCCGGTTCTCTTGTCATTCCTGGTTTCGGCTGTCTCATATCTGGGTGAAGTCGGGTCATTCATTCCGACACGTACTGTGACAGCAATCGTACTTTTCAAAGATTACCTTCTTTTCGTAACTATTCTCTACCAAACAAGACTTCTGTACATTCCGTCTATGTTGTTGTTATAGGTTTTGGCATTTTTGTCAAATGACACATACAAAAATTGACAGGTTTTCCGTGTTTCCTCTTCTCAATGTGAAATGCATGTATCTGCCGATGCACGACCGGGGCTGTCTGTCAGTGACGAGATCTTGTCAAAACAAGCTTTGATTAAAAAACTTGATGAACCTTTTTGGAAACCTGTCTTCTTTATCAATGCTAGATAGTGTACGCTGTGTAAATCGGACAGAAATATAACTGCAATAATGTGATCTTTACAATTTATAACAGAACTATATTTTTCCACGCGTAACAACATGTTAATTGAGTAATGCGGTTGGAATGAGTGGACAGTGTTTTTTCACACGCGGATTGATACAAAACAGCTGATTCTTGATCGGCGACAGTTGATTGTTTTTTTCTTGAAACATGTATTTAATATGAATATGGGTAATAAATAGAATAACCCACTCGGTACGAGTGATTACGGAAAATATGTCACGAGTGAAATTAATGTTTTAAGTTCCGAGCTTTAGCGAGGAACTTAAAACATTAATTTCACGAGTGAATTTTTCTGTTTCGTCATTCTGACAACATCAGCTATAAAACAGATACTTGCATAAAAATGAATTTCATACCGGACGTAATCTTGGTGATTCCAAATTAACACCCGCAGATCTTCTCCTTCGTCTCTCGGTGAGGGTACACTTGCTCGGAAACACTTTTGTGAAGCCCGGAATGGTCTTACACACCTTATGAATGGGCGCAGTGCAATTTACTGCCTGAGTGCTTGTATTGGGTTGAGAATCCGGAGAACAGGAACAATAAAGGTTCGTCCGTGGCCACGCTGCCAGTGATGCATAGACGTCCGGATCAAACAGGTTACTTCCATTATCAAGCCTATAACACACGAAGAACATAAACGTTGCAGTAAATCTCATCCCGAGTGTCAGAGTTCATCCGGAGAAATATTAGCTCAAAAGTCATGCTATTATGCTTTTCAAAAATATTAAATGTTGATCGTTTTCGTGGGGATTACGTGGAAGATTAATTACGATTAGAACCGATTAATGAGGATCGTGTGGCTACAATGTGTGACTGATTGTGCGTCATCGTTCCTTGCCGGTTTTGCTCGATGCTCAAATTGATAACGTCAGGTTTTCTTGCTCCAGATTCAATTATTTACAGCCGCCGGGAGACAGATGGAGTAGTGCTGATAGCGGCTTAAAACAACAATTACAGGCCAGATCAAATAAAAGCCTCACTTCCATGAGTTCGAGAATGTAGTTAGAAGATTCTGCCAGAAGTTGTATGTAGTTCCGCAGTCACCCGTCGCCGTGACGTCTGTAGAGTAGGTGCCGTCCCTCAGGAAAAAGTCGTCGCTGCAGTTTGCTGATAGTGTCCCACAGAGACCTCGAGTGCTATTTACGTCTTGGATTGACGGGTAGATGTAAACGTTCAGGTAGAAACCATAGACTTTAACTGTCACTCTTCCTCCAGTGGGCAGATACACCTATGAAAGAGTGTACACATTTGATAGTGATTCATAAACACATGCTTATCTGCTTGACACATGCTCAAATGCACACACGCACACGCACACGCACACGCACACGCACACGCATCACACCCCCACCCACCCTACTACCGCCACCATCATCATCATCGATAAGATGCTATAGCCGAAATCTGCTTTCAAGACTTAAGTACTTAAGGCCTTAGTAAAGCTTTCAAAACGTTTTATGGTAGACCTGTGGAGAACATTTCAAATTTTACGTGACAAATATGATGTCCTATGCAATTCCCTATTTTGTCTTGTACTATATGATCCCGTGATTTTTTCAGGTGTACATTTGACTTGCCTTTGTATGCATTTGTGACGGGTGCAACCGGTGGGGCAGGATACACTCACCTTTTTGCGAACACCTGGTGTCATCACTATTCTGAAGTGATTCGTAAGCACATGCTCATGATATAGTCGGAATCGTTCAGTCGATTCTTCCTTTAGCAGAAATATGGACAATGGGCAAAGATTACCTATCAGTGCTAATTACCCTCTACCTCCCGTTCGCCCATTGTCCATTGCCTATTACCAATCAGTAATCATTTAAGTTCTGGCTTCCAGCTGTCCATCGCTATTAACTATCAGCGCCAAATATCTGTTGGCCTTGCTTTTTGGAGTTTCCGCCTTTATTAACTCATTACGTTTCTTGTTCTTACATGTACATATATATGTTTTCTGCCTCATAGCATTTATTCATCTGATGAAGGATTAAGTATATACTCCGTAACGTTGTGCTCCTCATAATAAAGAAACTGTCATCCATAAATTCTCTTTCTTGTGTGTATCACTCCTTAATACCTTTCAAAGACGTGATTTTGGAAATGTTTCTGTTACTTTCATTTATTATCACTGTCATATATTACCAAATATATTTTTCAGATAATGATCCGAAAAAAATAACGAATTACTACTACTACAAATACAACATCAATAGTTTTATAAAGTCTTCCTGAAAAAATATATAGGGACTGTTGTGATTTTGGTATTTTATTTAGTTGTCATTTCTCATTTAAGCAAACAGACCATAGCACATCATCAGGTGAAACAAAGGAAAGAGTAGAACAACATAATCCTTCATGAATTACCTCATAATCGATGCCCTTCTTCTTGACCTGTAGTACATCTCCACTGTCTTCACACAGTGTGTATTCTATTGTCCAGATACTGGACTGTCCAGCGCACCTGTTGAACTCAAACACCGTCCTGCCAGCTCGTATAGCAACTCCACAGTTACACCACTTGTTGTGCACACCCCATCCACAGTCCGCTGTCTGTATTTGAACCTGTAGTGATAATGTCAATAAATTAATGAATACATAATTCCTTATAAAACGTCAAATAAGGTCGCATGGATAGATATTCATTAGAGTTTCAAAGCACGATAACATGTCTCTAAATAATAATGGGCAAACTAAAATACAATAAAGTGTGAGCGACATGACTCTTTCCATAATTATGATATATCTCTGCGAAAAGCAAAGTTAATTGTTTGATTCCGACTATGTCATAATCATGTATTTATGAATCACTATGAAATCGTGATAATACCATGACCAGGTTTTCGCGAAAAGTTTAACGTATCTTCCACCGCCGATGGCACCCTTCACAATCACATGCAAGCACATATTTTGTACAGGGAACAGTGATTCAAAAGCAAAGTTTTAGAAATACATATATTTACTTGAACATACCTCAATGGGAAAGGTTGTGTGCTTATACATAGTGAAGACACCTTCATATTGATGTTCGTATCGCCTAGATGGTAAGAGTAAACAGGATGTCAGCCGATGCTTGAAAACAATTAGCCTTATGTCAAACAGCAAATCTATACATTATCTCCCTTCACCGTTAGCTTGATATCTCCAGTACATCCGTCGATCTTTGATTGAATAGTTGGTGGTGATAGGTCGATAGTTCCGTGGGGCAATGAGTACGATCTTTGGTTTGTCAGGACCACACACGCTTGCACTGGGGTTTCACCAACGTGTAGACATTGACTGATCGTGATATGACCAAATACAGCGTCTGTAGCGCCCCAGTCACTTATATGATTGACATATTGAATCATACAGCCAGTTCATACTGATATCCTTTTGTAAATGTGATATCATAAATTCATATGACTTTTATATATGAGTGACTATCTCTTACACGCCGATGCAAATGCTAATTTGCAAATCGATTGAATAAAGGTTCATTATTATAAATATATGTTATTTTCCCTTGGACTTCATGATGAGCTGTGGATATTCTAATCAAACTTTTTTCACACTTGATTGGTGTTTGTTCGTGACTAAAACTGTTGACATAAAAGACTGAATAACAACAGCAATACATGAACCATCAGAAAGATTTACCTTCCATCAAATGTTTGCATGTGTGGGTCATTGATAGCAGAACACGACTTTCCCTCAATCAACGTGGTGTTCTTTATCAGCTGAACCTGAACATACGTGTAGTATACTCAAACCTGATGTACAGAATGTATAAGTATTTAGAAGATATTTACGTATTCTTTAGACAGTGGAGTTCCAGTGTTGTAACGTATTAGTAAAACATGTTTGACATTTGTTTTTTCATGCTTGAATTTCTTTTTTTCTTTGTAGTTCTTCAACTTTGCAAATGTTCATGCCGCTTAGATACTAATAATGATAATAATAACTGTCTATTTATAACGCGCATTACAATGCATACTCAAAGCACACAAAACACACCAGCTAGGAAGGGAAGGCTGGTGTAAAAGGATGAGTCTTGAGACAAGTTCTGAACACCGATAAGGATCTATGACTAAGTGACAGTTTTGGCTTTCTCTACACATTAGATGTTGTGATTTAGATGTAAGTGATCATCGGGCGCACGACCTCACAAGATCACACGAGTAATTAGGAGCGTCTAAATAAATGCACTTGTATGCAAATCACAGAGACTTTGAAAGGAATTCTTTGACGCTCAATAAGCCAGTGTAGGTCATGAAGTATATGAGATATATGATGATCTACAACACATTTGCGTATAATGATAGCATGTTATTACCACTATATGTCATAGAGAGCTTCACAGTTTTACCGTTATAACGCCGATCGTATAGTTGCTCCAGAACATGTTGTCTATGAGGTCGTCAGGGGTCGTCAACTTCAGTTTCAAAGTGTTATGTGTCGATCCTAGGCTCTGAGAAATCTGGCCAAATACCCTGATCGTGGCAGGTTCTGCCCACTTCCAAGCGAAAATAACTGTTCCACAAGATGAACTTACTAATTTGGCCCCTAGACAATCTACCATGGTCTCTGAAATATGATATTTATATCGTGGATCAACCAATTCAGTGACTGACATCATGAACATCGATCTACGCAATTGTAATGCGATGATATGCGATCAACTATGATGATGATGATTTTATTTAAACAACAAATATAAAGCATCCATAATTTCATTTATCATTGTGTTGAGTTTTTCTAAGTATATGATCATAGATGACTGTATTTTACTATTCACTGGAACATGTACTGTTCACTGAGAGACATACTGACCTTAAAAACGTTTGTATCTTGTTTTAAACACGTACGTACCAAGGTAAATAGATTCTATGTTTAGTTCACATGTAACAGCTGCAGTCCCACATCCAAATGGTGCCGTCAGCTGGAGGGATATGTCAGCGAACTCCCCTTCTGACAACTCAAGTGTTTTATCAGATTTCTGCAGGCGACAGTAAACAAAAACTCATTGTGTCAATAAACTTCCATTTCGAAACGATTTGTAGCTTGGACTCACGTTTCAACGAATATACGTATACAGCAAGAAATGTCCGAATCTCGTTAAGAGAATGAAACTTAGACATTAGAAGTTGACCAAGGAAATATAGTGTCAGGCTAGCATTAAGATGTAAACAATATTGTAATGATTGGTATTGATTGACTGATTACTTCATTATTTGTTTGCTTGAATGTCTGGAAGAACAAATGTCGTACACGTTGACTTATTTTCCACCATATCGCATCGAACTACAGTCTGGCGCAGATGCAATCATTAGGGAAAAGTTTAATTATTCTTACCTTAGGACTACTGTAAGAAAGCAGAAATTTTTTAAAAATATAGTTCCAACAAACATATTTACCTTAATCCCAATAAACTTCGATGCTGATAAGAAGGGAATACTGGCTGTCGTGTTTTCCCCGATGCTAGCGCTGACTGAACACTGCAGCTGTTACCAAAAAAAGCAAGAGATGGTTTGTCAGGTGAAAATGTAAAAATGTAAACATGTATATAATTCCCTTTCCGGCAAAACTAATATATTGCATTAACATTTGTAGTGAAACTTAAAAGCAGATAATTGGCAGTTCCATCACTGGAACAAACATAAACTACCAAAATCGGCTCAACCTGAAGTGGCGTTATACCAAAATCATTACAGTTCAGACTCTTCACCATCGGTTCCACCACCAGCTTAAGACTCTCGTGACTAAAGTTAGTTTGTAATCAGAGAATTATGAAAATCAAATATGTACCTCGAATCCAACTTGAGTTATGTTCACACTGGACAGTTTAGCAACTGTCAGAGTATGATTATCTATGACATTTCCATTGTCCCACTTCAAAGCATCTTCGGTGAGGACACGTTTGCCGTTAACGACCCAGTTGGTAGCGTAGAAGACGTCATCGTCGTGTTTGCTGAACTCACAACGGAACTCTAGCGTGCTTGTATGCATATCATTGTGGAGTTTGGTAGTGACAGTAGGTTCCACGGTAAATGTTGGAGCTGTAACAATCAGAATATACAATATAATTGTGTTGTGTTGTATTGTATTGATTATGTAATAATAGTCTCTCATAACCTCGGGTAGTTGCTCGACATATTAATTTTATTTACTGTAAATTTACACTGTCATGGCATTGTTAAATATCCGTTTGAAATAATCGTTTGTAACTATCGTTTTCTCTCTTTCTGTGTAAGTACTGTGAGAATTTAACCTTTCTCTTAACCCAGTTCATGGTCAAAAATGAATTTTAGAAACTATGAATTTGAAACGTAATAACTTACGGTTGTTTGCTGTATCTGCAAGCAAGGTAAAACATACAAATAAACATTATTTTATAGCTTGTCCTAGCTATATGTTACAGTCTATACATATGGCATGAAAGTAATTGGTTCTGAGCACAAACTCAAATGCATGTAAATATTGATTAAATACATCAGATGTATGCGGAATTGAATAGGTCTTACAGTTAGGAAAGGGATGTATTTTGATCAAATGACTTGTATTAAGGGCCTACCATTTGATATATGGGGGGATTTTGTACATGTATGGAGACTGGGCATTTTTATTTCTAAATGCATATTTAAAATGCATCTTGCAACAATGTATCTCTTCTGTGGCCGACAATTACCACATAGGTAAGTACATGTATTTGATGGTGGTTTTATACAATATAATTACAATTTGCACCTACATATATATCTGTATTCTTTCAGTATATCTGTATCTATTCATGGATAGAATAATCTTACCAAAACAATATGCACTCGAACATAATGCTTTCTTCAAATTAAATATCTCCTTCGTGCCGCACATTTTAGTTTCTATGTTCATCTTCGTGATACAGGTGTTGCAGTGGCTTTGAATGCACATTACAGAGTTGTTGCCGCTCTTTTCTGAAATATGAAAATATGCGGGTTCCGCTCTTGTCACTGCAAAATGTGTTTTCTTCTCAAAATGAAAACATATTAAAAGATTTTTGTATTCTGGTTTTCCAATTCCTTATCTAGAATATTCATCTTTTGAGGAGATTCATGATTACTGATTTTCTGTAATGTATGAACACAGTTCAATGTGTCTGTAAAATCATGAAACAGGACGAATTTTTAAAATCGCTTCGGAACCTATAAATGAATTGGTCGACACTGGTGTTTATCGCCGCACTCAGTAATATTCCAGCTATATGACATCATCTGGTTATAGACAAGCAGCTAAGAAATTGATCTCATGTTACAACCTCCCTTCATACGCCCACTGAATGTGAATAAAAAAACAACAAATCTAGACCGTTCAAGAAGCATTCGTTTATGGATCAATATCAAATAGTGATCATAACTAACCTTCGCGTGAAGGTGAGCGTCGCGTGCACCACCGGTGGTACCCATGACAAACAAATGAAAGGGCAAGTTAATTGTCACCAGGGAAACACAAGTCAAAATAGGATATTGCATTAGGCATCGCTTTGGTCACATGCTTCAAATTTGGAAGTGTTCTCCACAAATCTACCATAAAACGTTTTGACAGCAATACTAAGGCCCTGAATGTTGTAACTACGATCAAACAACTTTTGAGCAAGAGACCTCAGAGTCGAAAGAAAGAAATATCATCATTGTTTGTACCTCACGAGTTGACATGTATACACTAAAGGCTGGAATGGTGAAATATTGCTCGAAAGTTGACTATTGGAAACTTGAAGCCATCCTTCTTGTCAACAATGGTTTGTTAATTTCTGGAAATGTATTGATTAATATCATACTTTAAAACAATCAAATACTTACGTAGTCTCCATATAGGGTAACGAGTACCACAGTGCTGGAAACCTGGTGGTGAGTCTAGAAATACTTTCCCTCCGGCGTCATACCACCCCTCTGTGAGCAGCCTGTCGTTGAGGGCTCTCTCCCCTGTTGCTAGGATGTACAGACGGTCTCTCTTCTCAAGACTCGGAACGTCCATCGGATTCAAGCAGGGATCTGGAACAAGGCCTCTATGTCGAATCATTGTTTTCCTCATGCATCCACAATATAAAATTTACCAAATGACCGTTTGTTAATGCACTACTGTGATTTTCAAAATTGATACCGTGTCAGCCATATTGTTATCCCTAATATAATATATTTCTTAACTATTATCTGATTATTAAGATGGTAAGGACAGATTGAAATAAATCATATATTTGTAAATGAAGGTTACCTGCCAAGCATGCAACGATTCCGCACAAGTACAGTAGCACAAATACTTTTTGAGTCGTCATGTCTTTGTTTTTACTTCTACAAAACAAAACAAAGAAGAAAATAGATAAACTTGATCTGAATATAACAATTCGAGGCCTAGTGTGAACCGATAAACTGGTGTTACATAGACATGTGATTTTTTTAATTTTTAAGCATATGTAAGGTTTGCAAGTGAATTGATTTTCTCAGGAAACAAAACATGTAACATTGAGAAATACTTCATAAACATTGTTAAAAATGTACCATTGTTAAAAATGTGATAGAGTGTGTGAGTGAGTTGGGTTTACCGCCTCTTCAAAGGTATTCCAGTTATAACACGGCGAGTCAGCTTAATGTAGGAGGAAAGCCCGAAGTGATGCATGTCTCAGACGTTTTCCACATCGGGGAAACCCACGATCACGGGTATGGTGCTGACAAATCAAGAAACACAATCGGGGCGAACCCGGATTCGAACTCCAAATCATATGTTTCTTGCGTGCCAAAGGGACGCAACTCTGCACAGTGAATTGACCACCCATGCCCCGTGGTATGATAGAATATACTTTTGTTCGTCAGCAGGCCGATCCAATAACACATGCTCTTCCTTCACCGAAGGTCGAGGGGTTTACACGAACGTTCAGCTCAAAAACTTTCGTACACCCTACTTGTGACACATGTAGTGAACTGATCATTAAGAATGTACACGTATGTACATTAGATCTACACTGTGGCCACCACAGGAGTCGAAGTGTGAACAGGGTCAACTATGACGTGACAAGCTAGTGACGTCACAACATCTATCATGGCGCCATGATATCCGTACAGGCAGTCACACTTCGGCGAAGTGCCACTGCCACAAGCTTAAGTGCATATCACGTTTCCCTTGTTTGTAAATATTGAAAACCCAGCAAGCAGATAGATATACTTTATTTTAATAATTTTAGAATTTCCTCTCATCGAATATTCAATATGTACTGGCAAATCTGGAAAATAAATGTTTATCGGCAATGTAAAAACAAACGTCGTCTTTATTTCCCTTTAGTCCCTGTCTTTGTATTTGCAACCAAACAACCGTGCAACAGACATGAAGTCTGTCTGGTATGCCTTGATATCATGAAACACATTCTGGCGTTATACATTGCTTCCATACAATGTACCTATGTTGAGAACCAAACCCTTAAATGTGTACTGACGCGTAAACGCTTATTACCGCTAGGCTACCAACCTATTGTTTCTATCATCCCATCACCCATACAATTTTGCGCCCAATGGGACTCGCAGTTGATCATATTTGCGTCAATTCTTAATGTTATAGGACTTATAGGCATATTGGACTTAATATATTGCGCAAGGTAAATTCATGCCAACTAGAGCTGCATTGACATTCATAAAGGTAACTGAATAACATCGTCATTGACATTTATACATACATCATCATATCTCAGTCATATGGTATTCTCGAGGGAATTAATTTTTCGGGTGAATGAAGGACAACACTGATCCGGGACATTTAGTACCAACATATAAACAACATATACAACAACAAATACACCAAGAGTGAATTATCTGCTCTAACATCGCGAACACAGCGATACCAATATCAATACCAGTTACACGTACACTACCAATACCAATACAACTTACACTACCACTACCACTACCACTACCAATACCACTTACACTTACATTACCAATACCAATACTACTTACACTACCAATACCAATACTACTTACACTTACACTACCAATACCACTTACACTACCAATATCACTACCACTTACACTTACATTACAAATACCCATACTACTTAGACTACCAATACCAATACTCCTTAGACTTACGTTACCATTACCAATTCTACTTACACTTACACTACCAATACTACTTACACTACAAATACCACTTACACGAACACTACCAATATCAATAGCACAAACACTAATAATACTAATACTACTTACGCTATAAATACCACTTACACTACCAATACAAATACTACTTACACTTACACTAATAATATCAATACCACTTCATAAACCACACAACAAATAAACAACATAGACAACAACAAATACACCAAGAGTGAAATATCTGCTCCAACATCGCAAACACAACGATATACAACTTCCACTTACACTACAAATACTGCTTACTCTACCAATACCAATACTACTTCAACTTACACTTTAAATACCCATACAACTTAGACAACCAATACCAATACTACTTCCACTTACACAACCAATACCAATACCACTTACACTAACAATATCAATACAACTTACACTTACACTACAAATACCAATATTACGTAGACTACCAATACCAATACTACTTACACTAGCACTACCATTACCATTACCACTACCACATACACTTACACTAGCAATATCAATACCCCTTACACTTACACTACAAATACCCATACTACTTAGACTACCAATACCAATACTACTTACACTTACATTACAAATACCAATACTACTTACACTTACACTATCACAACCAATTCTACTTACACTTACACTACCGATGCCAAAACTACTTACACTACAAATGCAACTTACACTACCAATACAACTTCCACTTGCACTACCAATACAAATACTACTTCCACTTGCACTACCAATACCAATACCACTTAGACTACCACTACAATACTACTTCCACTTACACAACCAATACCAATACCACTTACACTACAAATACCAATACTACTTAGACTACCACTACAATACTACTTACACAACCACTACCACTACCACTTACACTTACACTGCCAATACCAATACCAATACCAATACCATTTACTTTTACACTTACATAACCACTTACACTTACACTACCCTATACCGTTGATACTTCCACTTACGCAACCAATACCAACACCACTTATGCAACCAATACCAACACCACTTACACTTACGCTACCAATACCAATATCATTTACACTAACAATACCAATACCAATTACACTACCAAAAACAATACTACTTCCACTTACGCAACCAATAACACTTACACTTACACTACCAATACAAATACTACTTCCACTTTCACTACCAATACCAATACTACTTACACTTAGACTACCAATACCAATACTACTTACACTTACACCAACACTAACAAAAACAATACTACTTACACTGCCAATACCTATACCACTTACAATTACACTAACACTTACAAAGCAATACCTCTAACACTACCGTTACCAATACCACTTAAACTTACACTTACACTAACACTTGCAAAAACAAAACCAATTACACTGCCAATACTAATACTTCTTCCACTTACACTACCAACACCAATACTACTTCCACTTACACTACCACTACCAATTCTACTCCCACTGACACTACCATTACCAATACTATTTACACGACAAATACCACTTACACTTACACTACCAATACCAATACCAATTACACTACCAATACAAATACTACTTACACTTGCACTACCAATACAAATTATACTTCTACTTGCACTGCCAATACAAATACTACTTAAACTTACACTACCAATACCAATAACACTTCATATACCACACAACAAATAAACAACATATACAACAACAAATACACCAAGACTGAAATAACTGCTCTTACATCGCACACACAACGATACCAATACCAATACCAGTTACACGTACACTTCCAATACAAATACTACTTACACTACCTCTACCAATACCAATACCAATTACACTTACACTACCAATACCAATACCACTTACACTACCAAAACAAATACTACTTCCTCTTACACTATAAATACCCATACAACTTAGACTACCAATACCTATACTACTTCCACCTACACTAACAATACCAATTCTACTTCCACTTACACTAACAATACCAATACTACTTCCACTACAAATACAAATACCACTTACACGCACACTAACAACAACATCACTTACGCTTATGTTAACACTTACACTGCCAATATCAATACCATTTACACTTACACTAACCAAACCACTTACACTTACACTTACACTACCAATACCATTGCTACTTCCACTTACGCAACCAATACCAATACCACTTACGCTACCAATACCAATATCATTTACAATACCAATATCAATTACACTACCAATAAGAATACTACTTCCACTTACGCAACCAATACCAATTACAATTACACTACCAATACAAATACTTCTTCCACTTTCACTACCAATACCAATACTACTTTCACTTACACTTACACTAACAAAAACAATACTACTTACACTGCCAATGCCTATACCACTTTCGTTTACACCAACACTAACAAAAACAATAGAACTTACACTACAATTACCAATACCGGTTACACTTACACTTGCACTGACACTAAAAAAAACAATACCACTTACACTACCAATACCAATACTACTTATACTACCAATACCACTTACAGTAACACTAGCGAAAACAATACCCCTTACACTACCTATATCAAAACCACTTACACTTACACTACAAATACCCATACTGCTTAGACTACCAATACTAGTACCAATACTACTTACACTTACACTACAAATACCAATACTACTTACACTTACACTACAAATACCAATTCTACTTCCATTGACACTACCAATACCAATACTACTTACACTACAAATACCACTTACATTTATGCTACAAAAACAAATACCAATTACACTACCAATACAAATACTACTTCCACTTGCACTACTAATACCATTTACACTTACACTAACAAAACCAGTTACACTTACACTAACAATACCATTGCTACTTCCACTTACGCACCAATACCAATACCACTTATGCTACCAATACCAACACCACTTACACTTACACTACTAATACCAATATCATTTACATTTACAATACCAATACCAATTACAATACCAATAAGAATACTACTTCCACTTACGCAACCAATACCAATACAACTTACACTTACACTACACTAACACTAACAAAAACAATACTACTTACACTGCCAATACCTATACCACTTTCACTTACACTAACACTAACAAAACCAATACCACTTACACTACCAATCCCAATACTAC